ATATGCATGTATCTATGTATATTTATATATATGTATCCATTTACGTACACATAAACATATAATACACAGTTATAGCTGTCAGCTACTTTTCCGTAGCAACTTTTCTGACGTTTTCTAAACATTAGATGACAAAGAAAACTGATATGAATAAGATTGAACCATACACTATCATAAAAGGATTAATATTAGATTGCCGTTACAGTACGTAGGGTGAGTTTGATGATTATAAGATTCCCTGCTTTACTATATTCTTCTTCGTACTCCATAAAAGAATACACAGTAAAGATCAATCACCTATAGAAACTTTATGAGATGCATAACTTAAGAAAATGCGACACTGAACCTGTAAACTTGACTCTTCATAGTGAGTGTGTTGCAGGACTGAAGGTTTAAAGTCACTCTATGGGACTGTGGCTCTGTCTTTGGTGATGCCCGGCTGGAAGACCCAGCTGAAGTGAAATCGGATGAAATTTCCGCCGTGATGACGTACGGTCTGCCACAGTTCATACCCAGGATGGTTTCAGCATCATTTTTATGTTTAATCTATTTTAAGGTGGGAAAATATTTGAATATTGCTTGAAATACTTTTCATTTGCATCAAAACAGTAATAGTCATAAAAAAATATATTTATATATACAGTTAACGGACAAGCTTTTCGTAGTGACGTCACTATCCGTCGGTCACCATTTGTTTCCGTTTAGCAGACGAATTTCCGTAAATTCCAGCCTGTTCACACACACACACACACACACACACACAAATCTAACAACCAAACTATCTAAAATCTGATTATCTAACGACCTATCTAGCAATCCAACTATCTATCTATCTATTTACAACCCAACTATTTATCTCTTTAACAACCCAACTATTCATCTATTTAACAACCCAACTATTCATCTGTTTAACAACCCAACTATTTATTTATTTAACAACCCAACTATTCATCTATTTACAACCCAACTATTCATCTATCTAACAACCCAACTATCTATCTATTTAACAACCCAACTATCTATGTGGCAATCTATCTAACAATCTAGCAATCCAACTATCTAACAATGTAATTATCTAAAAACCAAACTATCTATCTAACAATCTATCTCTAACAATCTAACCATATAACTACCTAACTATCCAACTATCTAAAAGTCCAACTATCTGACAATGTAACTATCTATTACTCCAAATATATAACTATCTAATAATCTAACTATCTAACAATCTAAGTATCTAACAACCCAACTATCTAACTATTTAACAATCAAACTATATAACAATCTAACTGTAACAATCACACATACACACACTAGCACGCACACACGCACAAAAACACACGGACACACAGACAGACAACACGCACAGACATAAACACACATATATGTACATTTATATATATATATATATATATATATATATATATATATATATATATATATATGCGTGTGTGTGTGTGTGTGTGTGTTTGAATATATATATGTATGTATATATATATTATTCATTTGTATATATAATATATATATATATATATATATATATATATATATATATGTATGTATGTATTCTCAAGAGAAAGTTAGAGAAACACCTGCATGATTACATACACCTATTTGCACGTGTCCCCAGGTGTCTGCCTTTGCTCCTCGGCCGGATAGCGATGCAACGGATACCAAAAATACTTTATTCGCTAATGTGTACACTGGTGTCTACGACGCTGCGACATGCGCTCACGGCGTCGGGCGTCTTCGTGACATGACTAAGAAATAGAATCTTTGTGATCAATAAATAACGGCATTTACAAGGGGTGGGCGGCCAGGCGAGGCGCCCGGGCAGCGTGGGCGGAGGCTTGACTAGGAGACGGAGCGCGCCCGCGGCTGGAGGTGGAGGGCGAGGTTGAGGGCGTGAGGGCGCAGGACGCCCCCACCCCACCGCCACCCCGGGGCGGAAGCCGTCGGCCGCTCCGGGGCCTCCAGGGCGGTCTCCTTCTCGGGCTTCGCGGACTCGGCCTTGTCCTCCTCCTTCGGCTCCTGTCGGGACTTGAGGGACAAGTCCAGGATGGCGTGGTCGGCTCCGGCGTCGGGGGGCGACGCGGCGCTGGATCGCACCGACAGGTCCATCGGCACGTCCGACGGAGGCGCCGCGGCCTTGGAGGCGAGCCCGACGGGCACGGCGAGCGCCGCCTCCTTCCTCACGGACACCGACACGGAGACGGAGACGTCGGGGCGGCGCTGCAGCGGCGGGAGCGCCAGGCGGCGGTGCGCCTCGTCGGCGGCGTTCCTCTCCTCCAGAAGGCGCAGCCTCTTGGCCAGCGGGAGGGGCGCCGGGCACTCGGCCGGTCGCTTTGCGGGCGCCCTGACGTGTCCAGCGCCTGCGGGCGGGCTGTGGGCGCGACCCACCCTCAGGCTGACCTCGGGGGACCGTCGAATGGCGGGGGCGTCGAAGGGAGGTCGTAGGAGGGCGTAGCAGGCGGTGTGGGAGAAGTAGGGGTAGAGGGAGTAGGGAGGGGGGTGCCACCGCCGAGGGGAACTGCGAGAGCAGGAGGGGGCTGAGGGGGCGCCGGGGTACGAGGACGAGGGGAGGAGGAGGAGGAGGAGGCAGGCGAAGGGGGAGGGAGGGAGGACGCTGAGCCGGGGTAGAGCGGGGGGAGGTAGGGCAGGTGGCGCCCTCCGCCCTCGCCGTAGAGGGACGCCTCCACGGAGTTGTCGGACGCGTGCGAGTCGGGGCTGCTCAGCGCGGGCGAGGTCCGGGCGGGGGGCGGCGACCCCCGAGGCACCTCCGGGGGGCCGCACACGTCGATGGCGTCGCCCTCGTCGTCGCTGGTGCCAGGCCCGCTCCAGCACTCAGAGCCGCCCGACACGCCCAGCTCGCCTGCCGCGGACGAACGCCGGTCCTCCAGCAGGCAGTGGATCTTGAACCAGTTGGAGCGACGGCCGTACCTGGGGGGGGGGAGGGTCAGACCAGGGGAGGGGACAGCGGGTCGAAACAGCGGGTTACAGAGTATTTCATCATTTGTTATCTACGGTGTTATATGATTATAGCTATTCAACTACATCTTCAATTTAAGATATAAAAAGAATTCTTGATTTGTAACTAGTTTCATAATGGGAATACAAGAAATTAAGAAGTGCAAGTGGACAAAAAGAATAACTAAAGTGAAAAAGAAAACCTAAAAAGAAAACGATACTAATACTAATGAAAACAATGTGTACATAGGAAGAAAGAGAAAGAGAGAGACAGAGGTAGAGGTAGATTAATAGATAATCAAAAAGAGATATACGGGTATTTTGAAATAGAAAGTAAAGGAAGACGAGAGAGAGAGAGAGAGAGAGAGAGAGAGAAGAGAGAAGAGAGAGAGAGAGAGAGAGAGAGAGAGAGAGAGAGAGAGAGAAGAGAGAGAAGGAGAGAGAGGTAGAGATAGTGAGAAGGGAGGGAGAGGAGAAGAGAAGAGGAGGGAGAGAGGAGAGAGAGAGAGGGAGAGAGAGAGAGAGAGGGGAGAGAAGAGAGAGAGAGAGAGAGAGAGAGAGAGAGAGAGAGAGAGAGAGAGAGAGAGAGAGAGAGAGAGAGAGAGAAGAGAGAAGAGAGAGAGAGAAGAGAAAGAGAAGAGAGAAAGAGAGAGAGAGAGAAACCGAGAGGAGAGCGAGAGACCGAAGAGAGAGAGACCGAGAGACCGAAAGACCGAGAGACCCCGAGAGCCCGAGAGAGGAGAAGCGCCTACCTGGAGCCGCTCTTGGACATGCCCACGAGCAGGCACTTGCGCAGGCGGCAGGCCTTGCAGGCTGTGCGGTTCTTCTTGTTGATGACGCAGCGGCCGCCGTTCTTGCACTCGCCCAGAGACGACACGTTGTTGTACGTCCGCCCGAAGAACGACTGCGGGGAGAGGGGGCGGTCAGAACGGCTCGTGGTGTTGGAAAGGATTAGAAGTGTTATATTGAATGGGGGGAAGGGCGGTCAGAACGGCTCGTGGGTTGGAAAGGATTAGAAATGTTATAATTGTATGGGAAGGGGGGGGGAGGCGTTAGAATGATTAAAAATGATACTGAATGGAAGGGGGGAGGGGGGGTCAGAACGGCTCGTGGGAAAGGATTAGGAATGTTATATTGAATGGGGGGGGGGTCAGAACGGCTCGTGGTGTTGGAAAGGATTAGAAATGTTATATTGATTGGAAGGGGGGGGAAGGGGAGAGCGTTAGAATGATTAGAAATGTTATACTGAATAGAAAGAGGGGGGGAGAGGCGTTAGAAGATTAGAAAATGTTATACTGAATGGGAAGGGGGGGGAGAGGGGGTCAGAACGGCTCGTGGTGTTGAAATGATTAGAAATGTTATAGTGAATCGAAGGGGGGGGGGGGCAGTTAGAACGGCCTATGGTGTTAGAAGATCCGGTTAGGAAGAGGGGAGGGAGGGGGGGAGGGGCAGATATCCCGGTGCCGAAGAGGGAGAAGGGAGAGAAGGAGGATAGACAGGGTGAGGATTCGATTCAGGGAGGAGAGGGTGTTAGCAGACGAAAAAAAAAAAAAAATGAATGGTAGGGGAGAAGTGGGAGAGGGGAATAATGTGACATTATAGTACATGAGAGAAGTTCATGTTAAGTTCATGTTAGGTTCATGTTAGGTTCATGTTAGGTTCATGTTAGGTTCATGTTAGTTCATGTTAGGTTCATGTTAGGTTCATGTTAGGTTCATGTTAGGTTCATGTAGGTTCATGTTAGGTTCATGTTAGGTTCATGTTAAGTTCATGTTAGGTTCTGGTTCACTGTATGTTACGAGGCTCTTTGGGACAATGTTGTCTATGCCCGAGTTATAAAACATTGTGAATAAGCATTTTATTAGTTTAAATTAATTAGTCGTGGCTTTATCTTGTGTTATATAATACTGTGACTGGAGTAGACGATATAAATAATTCATATCAGTATGATAGGGTGTGATAGGTACAATTTTAATAAAGATGATTTTTTTTTTATTGAACTAGAATTTGGTTAAATCATAATTTCCAATATGCCAATCATTGGTAGAACTCTTATCAAAGTATTTTTTTCATTAGTGATTAGAAAGAAATAAAATTAAAAGATGTTCATTCCACATCTATTTATCTATTGTTTTTTCCTTCTTCCTTACTACCTTTCACTCTCACTGTCTTTCTTTAACGTAACTTTAGTCAATTGCATCATTCCTTTATCTATTCATTGGCTTATTTATCTATCCACTCTCTGTCGATTTTCTCTCCAGCTATCTATTCATCTATTCATTATCTATCGACTTTCTGTCCAACTAGCCACGCCGGTCTCGCCTTGCATCCCTCTTCTCTCTCTCTCTCTCTCTCTCTCTCTCTCCTCTTCTCTCTCTCTCTCTCTCTCTCTCTCTCTCTCTCTCTCTCTCTCTCTTCTCTCTCTGTCTCTCTCTCTCTCTTCTCTCTCTTACTGTCTCTCTCTCTCACTTTTCTTTACTTTCTCACTCTCCTTCCCTCCCTCCTCCCTCTTTCTCTCATCCCTCCCTCCCCTTTCCCCTTTCTCCCCTTCCTTCTTCCCCTTTTATCATCGTCTCACCTTGCATCCCTCGCACGTGAACGCCCCGAAGTGGAAGCCGGCAGCCGGTTCGCCACAGACGCGACACTGCTGGTTCATGGTTCCTGGCGGCGGGGCAGAACCTGGAAGGAGGGAGGGGGGTTAGGGAATTGGAAGAGCGTGGATGGAATAAAAGGAGAGAGAAGGGAAATAAATGAATAGCGAAAAGGAGAGAAAAAGCGGAAATACATGAATTAATCGGTTGTTATTGCTGGTTCTTGGTTCCAGGAGGCGGGGTAGAACTCGGAAGAACATGAAAGCAGAAAGGGAAGAAGAGGAAAAAGAAAGTAAACCGATAAACAGATAGCGGACCCATGAAGCGCAGATGAAAAAGAGAAAGAGAGATAGAAGAAGAAGAAGAAGAAGAAAAAAAAAACATGGAAATAAAATGGTTAAAGGAAAGACAACGGGCAGATGAACCATTGAAGAGAAGAAAAGAAAAGGTAAGAAAGACAGAAAAAAGAAAAGATGAAATAGAGACATGAGTAAATCGACAAACAAACACATGAATCTTATGGTTCCAGGGACACAAAACCTTAAAAATAGGAGGCGATTTACAACAGGAAAAACAAAACAAAACAAAGGAACAAAAACAAAGGATAACAAAAGAATAACTTAACTTAAATCACAACAGGAAAAACAAAACAAAACAAAGGAACAAAATAACAAAAGAATAACTTAACTTAAATCACAACAGGAAAAACAAAGCAAAACAAAGGAACAAAAAAAAGGATAACAAAAGAATAACTTAACTTAAATCACAACAGGAAAAACAAAACAAAACAAAGGAACAAAAATAACAAAAGGGAATAACAAAAGAATAACTTAAATCACAACAGGAAAAACAAAACAAAACAAAGGAACAAAAACAAAGGATAACAAAAGAATAACTTAACTTAAATCACAACAGGAAAAACAAAACAAAACAAAGGAACAAAGGATAACAAAAGAATAACTTAACTTAAATCACAACAAGAAAAACAAAACAAAGCAAAGGATAACAAAGGAATAACTTAAAGGAATAACTTAAATGGAAAATAGTTGTACTGGTTTCACAAACAAATGAGTACTTGATTGGATGACAAGAAAGTAAGACATGAGTGGACGTGGCAAGAAATGGGTGAATGAAAGAGTGGATGAGTAAGGCTGTGGATTAAGCCATCATTATGTATAGAATAGAGAGATGAACAAATGAACATATAACTACGATTGATACACATACACAGGCATAAACACACACACACACGCACGCACATAATAATAATGATGATAATGATAATGATAATAATGATAATAGCAATAATGATCATAATGATAATGATAATAATGATAATGATAATAATGATAACAACCATAATGATCATAATGATAATGATAATAATGATAACAACAATAATGATCATAATGACAAAAATATACACAAATTTACGTAACAGATACAACCGTTGATGTGTATCCACTTCAGTTTCTTTTCCCATCGTCTGATATTATGTTTACAGCACCAAAACCAAAAAAAAAAAAAAAAAAAAAAAAGCAACAAAAAAACTTTGGGTCGTGTTTATGGTCTGAGGAGGCCATGACTGCGGTAGCTTAGCACATAAGACATTGATTGCTGTGATTTAACTGTCTTCGACAAACCACTCACTAGCACGCAAAGGGTTTTTTACGACTATTATAATATGTAATTATGTCCATGACCATAATTTGCTCAATGTTGTAATCATACGAAATAACCATACACGCGCTTGTGAGTGAGTCTAAAATAGTTTAGTCTCTGCGGTAATGATACTTTTATACCGTTTTCTGTATAAGGATATCAGCTTACCGGTAAACGTTTTCTTTGTGTTTTATGAGGGGGGACTAATGCAAGACACACTTTTTTATGAATTAACATGTTATTGAATATAATAATAGATAGAATGTATATCTATCTATCTATCTATGTGTATGTTTGTGTGAGTGTGTTTGTGCAATTTACAGACATTGACACACACACACACACACACACCACAACACACACACACACACACACACACACACACACACACACACACACACACACACACACACACACACACACACACACACACACACACTATATATATATATATATATATATATATATATATATATGTATGTGTAGCTATGTGTGAATATGTATAAACGCAAGAATTTTGAAACCAGCAAGAAAGAGAACGAATCGAGGGAAAGAACACAAAAGAAAGACACAAACAAAGAGAAAAAACGGTTAAAAAAAATTGAGCAAAATTGCTGAGAAGAGGGAGATGAAGAGATGGGAATAAAAGTGGGGGAAGGGGAGGGAGGGAGCAGGAGGGAGGGAGGGGGGGGATACGGGTTGAGAGGGGGAGGGGGGAGGGAAGGGGAAGGGGGGAGGGAGGGAATTACGGGTTGAGAGGGGAAAGGGGGAGGGAGCAGGATCAAAGGAAGGGGGGGGGATTACGGGTTGAAGGGGGGAAGGGGGGTAGGGGGGGCAGGGGTCGAAATTCCCACGGTACGCCCCCGCTTGGCCGCCCGCGCGAGGTTCTCTTCACGCCCACTTGGAGCCAAACTGTCTTGAAAAGACCGCTGGGGAAAAGGGGGAAGGGAGGGGGGGGGAAGGGGAGGGGGCGGAAGGGAGGAAGAGGAAGAGGAAAGAGGGGAAAAGAGGAAGGGGAAAGAGGGGAAAGGGAAAGGGGAAGGAGGGGAGAGGGGGAAGGAGGGAGGAAGAAGAGGAAGGGAGGAAGAGGAAGGGGAGAGAGGATGGGGAAGGAGGAGGGAGGAGGGAGGAGGAGGAAGAGGCGGGGAGGGAGGGAGGGAGATGCGGAGGAAGAAGAAGAGTGGGAGGATGAAGAGGAAGAGGAGGAGGGAGGAGGAGAAGAGGAAGAAGGGGTAGAAGAGGAAAGTAGGATGGGGAAGGGAGAGGGGGAGAAATAGGAGAAAGGAGGAATATTAAAAGAAGGAGGAGAAAACGAAAGGAAGGAAAAGGAAGAGAAGCATGGGGAAGAGGAGGAAGGAGAGAGAAAGGGGGGGAAGGAAGAGGAGGAGAACGTTTAGGGAGAGAAAGGGAAGGACAAAGGAAAAAAGAGAAAGAAAGAAACGGAGAAAGTCATTGATAATTTGATAATGAGGGGAATGTAGACGGATCGGAGGACGGGAAGAAAAAAAGACGAAAGAGAATACGGGGAAGGAGGAAGAACGCCAAGGACGAAGAGGATCGACAAGAAAGAGAGAAAGAGAGAGAGAGAGAGAAAGCTCAAGGCAGCTCGCGAGGAAGCATACAATCTCCTCATTTCTCGCCTCACTTTCCTCACGTCTCTCGCCTCTTCCTCTCTCCTCTCTGTCTCTCTTATCATCCTCTTTTTCTCCTCACGTTATCTCTCTGTCTCTCTCCTCACCACCTCTCCCCTCTCCGTCTCTCTCCTCATAATCAACCTCCTTCTCTCTCTCCTATGGTAACTCTCCTCTTCATTATCTTTTTCCATCTCTTCTTCTTCTCCTTCTCCTATCTTGTCCTCTTCTCCTTCTTCTCCTCCTCCCTCTCCTTCCTTCACCTCCACCTTTTCAACTTGCTTCACGTCTTCCTTTTCCTCTTCCTCTCTCTCTTTCACTCTCTGTTCCTCCTCCTCCTCCTCTCCCCCCCTCTTCCTCTCTTCCATCCCCATCCCTCTCCTCTCCCATCCCCTCCCTCCTCCTCCTCCCTCCCTCCCTCCCCTCCTCTCCCTCTCCTCCCCCCTCTCCCCTCCCGTGTCACAATAACTTCCCACCGCCTCATCCTCTTCGCTCTCCTCATCCTTCGCTCTAATTTCCTCAAGATAAATAAGTCTGGCGGAGCGCGACGACGAGCAAGGACAGGCCCGCCATTTTCTCTCCTGCGTGACGTCACAGCCAAGGGATCCCGAGGATAAAGTAATAAATGTGGGATTTGTTTTGTCTTCGTTTGTTTTGTGTGTTTGGATGTTTGTTTTTTATGTATTTATTTTTGTTGGTTTGTTTATTTTTGGTATCGTTTGTTATTTTTTGTTTTATTATCGTTTTTTAGGTGTTATAGTGGTATTTATGTTTGGGTGTATGTTTTGTATTTGTTTGTTTGTCTTTTTTGTTATTGTTTGGTAGGTCTCTTAGTTACGGTGGTTGCGGTAGTTATGGTAGTTATGGTTATGGTTATTGGAGTGGTATTGTGTTAATAATGGTAAAGATGTTAATGATGGTGATGGTGATAATAACGATAACTATTGGTGGATAATAATAATTATATGATAATCGTATCAATAACTTTATCTTGTAGATCATGATGATATAAATGCTTAATTAGATATGATTGCTTGAATGAAACTTTAAAAAGAAAAGAAAAAAAAAAACGCTAATATTGGAATTTTAAGAATATATCAACAACGTTACCAACAACAACGACAAAAACACAACACGAGCAAAATCAGCATCGCCAATAACAACAACATCCCCCCTCTCCCCCCCCGCCATCTCCCCTGGTCACCCCCCCCTCTGCATCCGAAGATCCGCTCGCCCCCCCCTTTCGCCCGCTCGCGCGCCCGCACGTCACACCTGCACACCGAACTCCCACGGTTAAGTGACAGTCTCTCAGTCATCCGAACACAGTGGCCGATCAAGCGCAGAACCTCGACAGGGGATTCGGACGTGACTTTGGTGAGGGAGGGGGAGAAGGGGAGGAGGAGGAGGAGGAGGAGAGGGAGGAGGGAGGGGGAGGAGGGGGGGAAGGGAGGAGGAGAGAGGGGGAGGGGAGGAGGAGGAGAGGAGGAGGAGGAGGAGGAGGAGGAAGGGTGGAAGGAGGTGGAAGGAGGGGAGGGAAAGGAAGGGAGGAGGGGGAGGTGATGGAAGCCCAAGGGGAGGAGGAGGAAGAGGAAGAGTAGGCAGAGGAGGAGGAAGAGAAGGAGAAGGAGAAGAAGAAGAAGAAGAAGAAGGAGAGGAGGAGGAGAAAGGGGAAGGAGAAGAAGGGAGAAGGGGAAGAAAAAAGAAGAAGAAGAAGAAGAAGAAGAAGAAGGAGAGAGGGAGAAAGGGAAGGAGAGGAGGAGAGAGAGGGAGAGAAGGGGGGG